GGTGCCTCAGAGTCTGCGTCCTAAATTGGGAGGCGAGGCTGCACCCTGTGCTTCCCTCAGAGGGAAGAGGGAAACCTTGCCAGAAGCAGCCTTTTATTTTGCACAAATTCTTCACGGTCGATGTTTATGGTTGTTTTCCCCTATGGTTTTTATGACTTTCCCTTTTACCTCTGTAGTTTCCTAGATGAGGTGTTCCGAGTCCCAGGCCTGCCCTGCACCCCCAGAGCCAGCTGTGTGACAGGCTGTATTCCGTGTGCTGTCTTTCATGGTGCAGGGCCCTATGACCTCTGCAGAGGGAAGGCGCCACCCAAATGCAGAAATCCATCGCAACCATCCTGGAGAGGGCGTTATGGGGGGGTGAGGCCGCTTGTGCTGCTGTGGGGTGGAAGAGAGTGCGGGCTGTGGAATGCTGGAGCCCAGCTGTCTGTTCACACAGGCGGCTGCTCAAAGATGTGCGTTTCTCCAGGATGCTTTCTGTTGAAGGAAACATGATAAAAAAAGGTGGCGGCGATCGTAAGCGTTCCCCTGGGCACCTCTCCGCCCGACGCAGCAGCACCTGGCTCTCTAGCAGGCACTGGGATCTGCAGTGCGGCGCCCCCCTGCACCCCACAGCTCCCTCCGCCTGATTTCCAGCGCCACAGAGGACTTGCCCGTGATCTTGGACTTTGTCTGGGTTCAGTCCCACTGCGTAGACTGCTTGGGCCTGGTGTCTTGTTCTCCGCCAGGTGTTAGTGAGATCCACCCATGCAGCGAGTCTTCACCTCTGCTCACCCTTTAGATTTTAGGGTGCAAAGGCACTGGGATCGGCCCGCCCCACACCGGCAGAGGCTTGAGCTGCTGCCAGGGCCAGGATCTCATATGCAGAGCTGGCAGACAGTCCTGGGTGTGTCTGTGAAGGTCAGCACCTAGAGACACGCTGGGTGTGCACAGGTGTGCACGTCCTGGTCCTGGGGTGCAGACACGCACCCTCGGGGTGATAGATGGTGCCCAGCGGTTCCAAACTCTTCTGCCAATTTCCCCTGCCCCCGGCGATGTGTGAGTTGCAGGCTGCTGTGTACGGAGGAACATTCTCAGTGCACCCTTGGGCATAGGGTTCTTACCGAGGACCAGTGCACACTGGAAGCATCTTACACTGTTGTGGTGGATTAACTAATGGTCAACTTGGAACGCCCAGCTGGCTGAGTCAGTGTGGTCCTGGGTGTGGAAGACCCTCCTGAGGATTGTTGCCAGTGGCATAAAGAGAACTGAAGAGGAAGATTGTGGGCTGTTCATTTTCTTGGAGAAGCTTCCCGAGGCTGGTTTTCCTGATGCAACTTGCCTGTTCTCGTCAGAGGAGGAGCCCGAGTCCTCACTGTCACCAGGGAACGGCTGCTATTCTTGTCAGAGAGCTCTGGTCTTCGCCTTGAGCATCGCTTCCTGGCTCCAGGGCAGGTCCCTCGGCTGGGGGCGCAGAGCCTTCTCCCTGACAGGGCAGGCTTTTAGCTTCCACCACTGGCCCTTGGGCCTTCCCGGTGCAGATCCCCGATATGGACTTGGATGAGACACTGCCGTGGGATCCAGGCCCTTGGCTGGATTCTTCTGGTCTCTAGTGCACGGACAGATCTCTTGCAGTGCTCTGCAACTGACTTTCTGGGTGAATATTATAAAATAATCCTATAAATTATGTGTCCTGTATTAAATCTATTCCCTTGCAAACCCTGACTACAACAACCGTCATAAAGGAAATGATTGTCATGAAGATGTTGCCCTCCCCACCAGGAAGAGGAGGACTCTCAAGACCTCTATCAGTTGACAAGGCACTGATTTCAATCTACACAGCGCACTTTATTGAAAAATAGTTGTTCACTGTATTTTTCCTGGTCGCATCTTATGACTTGCCTTCCCCACCCAGAAGTTCCAAACCTCTGTGTGTGTGTGTATGTGTGTGTGTGTGTGTGTTACCGGGAATTGAACTAAATGCCTTTGCACTGAGCAGCATCTCCAGCCCTTTTTTATTTTTTATTTTGAAACTGGTCCAAGTCACGAAGCTGCCCAGGCTGGGGTCAAACTTGCCAGCCTCCTGCCTCAGCCTTCCAGAGTTCTTGTGCCCCACCACACCTGGCCCCAAACCTCTTCCCTTGCTTTTGGTCTGAGTTGGTAGATACAAGGCCCCATTCTACCACCTCTCTGGGGGACTTGCCAGTGGACACACCCATGGGCAAGCTCTGTGCACACGCTAATAAACTTTTTCATTTCCCTCTTGTTGATCTCTCATGTGCAGCCCCAGCTCAGAACCCAGGGTGGGCAGAGGAAGATCTGTCTCCCCCCTGCATTACCAGCACTGGCGTTGCCAGTCTTTGCCAACTTAGTCATTCTGTAGCGTGTGCAGGGCGAGGAGCACTGTCCTTCCCGTACCTACCGCAAGGCTCATGGCCGAGACAGCTATGACAAGAGGGAAGCAGGACAAGTGTGTTGATTGTGAGTTTGGTGTGAGCCAGTAAGGAAACAGAAAACCGTCTTCATGGGCATCTTCCGGAAGTCTGACCAGAGGACACAGGGCCGGATGTGACGCTGTAAACAGGACTCGGCAAGGCCCTTTGTTCAGATCCTCTGCGCCTGTCTCTTGCTCAGTGAGGCCGTGTCGGACACAGCAGGTCGCAGGCTCTCCATGGCCGGCCTGGGGAGGCTGGGAGCAGTCACAGCCGCCCTGCTTCTGTGCTGCGCAAGCACCCCGGTGCTGCGTTTGGGAGAGTGGCCCGAGCCCCACTGTGCAGCGACGTCTTGCGTAGCCGTGGACACGAGACACCTCCCACCTGCCTCCCACTGGTCCCACTTCCGCCGCCTGGCTCCCGCCGCCTGTGGAGGTCGCGCCTCCTCCTGCGCATGCGTCCCTCATCGGCTCCGACGTGCGTCGTGGCGTCTTTCTCCTCCGTGGCCTGAGTCTGCATCCTTCATGGTCTCTTAGGGTGCACGGCTCTGGATGGTAACGTGTTCCTGCTCACTCGTGTGTTTCTCTAAGGAGACAGAAACACCCGTGAAGTGTTACCAAGCCCTTTCCTCCTCTGCACCACAGAGCGGTTCCTGTTTCCTCACAGAAGAGCCGTTGCTGCCGCTCTGTATTTAGACCGAAGCCCCCTGGGAAGGACATTTCAGTGTGGGTGTGAAGTGGGCAGGACACACAGTTTTGTTCCTGGACCGACGTGCAGGTGCCCTGCATCCTGTATTGGGAAGGTCACGTTTTCCGCATTGGGATTCAGTTCGAACACATTTGGGGCCGAAATGCACTGCAGTGACCTCTTCCTCCCTCACCTGGGTCCTCGGGCTGTCAGCAGAGGAATCCGTGTGGTGTGTATTCAAAATGCAGCTGCTGATGACCCCAGCCCGCACTCCGAGAGGGCCTGTCACAGGGCCACCTGGCCTGGCCCTCCGCCTCTGCCAGGCCACTTGGGCTCCTGGAGATCACTGTGCGGGGACAGTCGGGGACAGAGCGAGTTTGGGAGTCCCAGCAGTTCATCCTGAGGTCTTGGCATTAGTCTCTGTCTCAGTGGCCAGGTTGTAGTACCTGAGTTCACCACCGCTGACTTGAATTTCCCGAGCGAACTGCCCTCTCCCTTCGCCAACCCACAGGTGCTTCACCAAGCTCGCTGCGAAGTGATCCGTGAGCCAGTTTTCTGTCTCCGAATCACATCTCACCAGTTGTCTGGTCTGCCTGTGAGGGCTCATCGGTCAGGCAGCCATTGTCACATAACCACTGTTTGCAAAAGATGCTCCCAGGGCCAACTGTGTGTCTTCATGCCTCTCACCGTCCCTGGCTGGAGCACAGGGACCCGCAGCTTCCGACCAGCTGAGGGCACCGGGGTGACACTTGCCCTAAGAGGCCCTGGGAAGGCCGCTCAGAAGAGCAGGAGTCAGACTCCTGTGTGAGTTCAGGGAGGCCTCTGAGCTGGGTTGAGCTGGGTTTTGAAGAGGGTGGAGGAGTTTGCTGGGAGTAAGTGGGTGAGAGCTCTCGGGCAGAGGGAAAAGACACAGAGCCTCCAGGCGCACCAGGGGCTGGATAATCCCCCACTGAGCAGCCTCTCAGCCCCTCCAGCACCCGTGAGCTGTGTGGCAGGGCTCTGTGCTGTCGGCTTCCCAACACGGCCAACCTGGCTGCCGGGAAAATCCAACTCAAATCAGTGAGACTGAGTGAAGAGTGGCCGCCCACACCGCAGGCCAGCAGGACAGGTCCCCGTGGCCTCCCCGAACCTGGGCCCCAGGGCAGGCCCGGCGGTGAGCGCACGGGTTCAGCGAGCACAGGTGAAGTCAGGGGAACCCCATGGCACCCTCACTGCTCCCTGCACGGTGCCTGCAGGTGCCAGCTCTGCGTGGCCCGAGCCTTACATTCCCATCCCAAGGGACCGGAGAGGACTCAGAGGTGAGCCATGGAAGCTCACGAGCAAGCCTGGCGCCCGGGCCTCAGGGACAGCTCAGCGCCCACTGCCTCCTCTGCGCCTGACAGGTGACACTGCCCGCTGGGCGGGACCAGGGGGCTCTGAGGACAGCAGCTTTCCTGCCGGGTCGCCTGGACCCAGAGCTGGGCAGCAGGGAGAGTGACGGCTGCTTCTGCGCTGCTCACAGGAACAGGGGAGCCCCACTAATTCACTGTAAAAATCCAGTCAGGAGCACCCCAGGCTGAAAGCAAACCCCAGAAACGCCGAGTTTCAAACTGGAGGAAACTGACTCCTCGCGCATGTGCTGAAATGCAGCCCAGACCTGCTTTGCTCTGTTTCTTGCAGACAGTTTACCTTGGGCAGAAAGTGGAGCCAGGCAGTGCAGTTTTCTTGCACATCTCCTTTTATCACATTGGTCATTTTGATCGCTTGTCCGTGGACATGCATAGAATGGATCCAGCTCCTCCTGGCCATGAGGTTTCTCTCACCTGAGGATCCTCTTCCCTCATCGGTATCTGCCTTGCTGGCGATTTCTCCCTGGAGAAAGAGACCTCGGGCAGCACGGTGGAGGAAACGCTGACATCAGGTGAAGTCGTGATGCCTGCATTCAGAAAGGAAGCTGATGCTTAGCTGAACTGGATTAAAGCTTAACGTGGCCTGCGCCCACTGTGCTGTCCAAGGTCCCAGCTGCCACTGCCTCCTGTCCAGCACTCTGTCAGCTGTGTCACCACAGGGGTATGGAGAAGTGGAGTTGCTTTTCTACCTTCGACCTCGGCGACCTGGGAGTCTCACCCTTTTAGGTGGCAGGAGAGAAGGAAATAACTAAATATGCGACCATCTTCCATCCCACCCTGGACACAAAGGTGGCTCTAGACACTCGTGTCCTCGAAGAGAGTGGCTCAGGCTCTCGAGTCCACCTCTGCCCACTGGTCCCCTGGGGATGGTGGCCGAGTGTGTGGTGCAGGGGGTGCTTGTTGCCTGCACCCACACTGAAGTGGACTGAGGTGGACTCTCTGAGTGGCCTGAGTCCCGCCCTGGCCCCAGCTGCCCCGTAGCTGCTGTCCTCTCTGGACAGCTGGACACCTGTGTGTTTTATTGGTCTCTTCTCCTAACATCACAAGCTGACAAGCATGTCACCCGGGTGTCCTCAGCTCGGCGGCTCCTCTTCAGTGATGTGAACTGGCTCTGGATCTCTGACCCAGGCACCCCACTTGGACCTGGTGGGAGGTAAGCCTGTGCCCTGTGGGTCCCAAGGCAGTGCCTGGCCTCTGGCTGGCACCAAGGAGCCTCTTGACTGGACAGCACCCTGCCCGACTGCCTGTCTGCCTGCTCACACTGCCGTGTCTTACGCCTGAGTCACCTCTGATTCCATGTGCCTGGGAGGATGCCTGCCACCGTGCCTAGGAGATGGTCCTGACACTGAGCTACAGGGTGAATCCCTGACACGGGACTGCATCATGTCGAACTGGTAGCTGGATGCCGAGGACTTGTTTCCAAGGTCATTGCTGGTCACCTGCGGTAGTTTGGACACAGTTTTCCCCAAGACCATGTGTTTCCAATCTGTGGGGCTCTGGGAAGGTGGTGGAGCCTCTGGGAGCTGGGGCCTCACGGGAGGAAGTGAGGTCATTGTGGGCGTGGCCTTGAAGGGGGTGTTGGGACCGCAGATCCTCCCTGCTTCTTTCTTTGCATCTGGGCTGCTATGAGGTGAACAGTCCTCCTCTGGCCCCTTTTCCCACCGTGATGTATGGTGCCACCACAGACCCACAGGAATTGGACCAAGCAACCATGGACTGAAGCCTCTGAGACTGTGAGCCAAATAACCCTTTCTTCCTCATGAGTTGATTCTTTTCAGGTGTCTTGTCACAGTGATGGAAAGTTAGCCGGCACAGACCACATTTTGAATGTAGGCCTCTGTCAGCGCACTCCTGTGGTGGGAAGGTGAGGGACAGATACAGTTGGTGATACCTGCCCCCCGCGCAAGCTCCAGTCCCTAAGTCCAGGCCCCAGCCACAGGTCACTGCTTGTTTACTTTCACAGAGATTTTCTTCAGAAGTTTTCTTTCCAGCACTGTTTGTCAGGAGAGTGTGTCCTTCCCCCTCACCGAGCTCTCCTGACTTAGAGAGTCATGAAGTGTTTGCTTTAGCACTTTGTAGTTCAACCCTAGACTGAAAACCAATATTGAGTGTGGAAACCAATCTGGAAGAATCTTTCTGAATTTATGTGCTTGGCCACGTCTAAATTTGTGTGAATTACTAGTCAGGAAGTTAAAGTACAATTTGTCATCATAACTGGGATTCCAGACCAGCCTTAGACATTCAAAATAATGTTGAAAACTAGAGAAGTCCTCTCCTGACAGTGTCTTCCTGTCTGTTTTAGGAGTATTTAACTTTTAAAAATGATATTCTTTCCTGCTTTTATAGCAAATTAAGTGACTTTAAATATGAACACTTTCATTCTTTTTTTCAGCATAGCATCTCAAAGTTTATAGTAAGCTGAGCTCTTAAATTTATGATTTCTGTGTGCTTAAACTTGAATAACCATAGTGAAGTAGGAAAATAGAAACATTTGTGTTTAATTTTCTTCCTGGGAATTAGCGTTAGTATAAATGCCTGCATCATTTCCATTTAGAATGGTGATTTTGATGGAAGCTCACGAGTGTGTGTGAGTGAGTGTGAGTGAGTGTGTGTGAGTATGAGTGTGTGTGTTAGCACCTCGGGAAGAAGGAGAGGAAGGTGGTCCGGTGTGAGTTAGAACAGGATCACTCGGGCAGGAGCTCAGGTGTCCAACCTGCTTTGCTTCCGGTGCACTGAGAGTTTCTGCTCTTCACACTGCTGCAGATCTTTTGTAGCCATTTGCTCATCACTATCCACACAATTATCTAATGCACATGGTAATGACGCTGATTCCTGAACTCCCTGTGGGCAGGAATTCAAAAGCCTCATTGGCAGATCTGGAAGTGAGATGAAACTGCTCCTGTCCCTAACCCACCAACACACGGACTCCAACAGATTAGCTTCCTCAAGCGACTTCGTGACTGTCACGGGGAGAAATTAGGAGGCTCGATTCACACCAGTATCTCCCTCCTTGGGGCCTCACTTGGAAGTGTGGCCAGCACAGGGATGGACTGGAGGGAGTAGATTTGGGTAGGAACAGAGAGCTGGTGCTGAAGGCAGGCAGAGTTTCAATGCGGACCCAAAGCAAAGGCGCACATTGTGACCACATAGGCTGAAGGGGCAGAAGTGGCTCCTATTTCAAGTGCAATATGTGTGGAGAACTGGCTTGCAGCCAGAGAGCCCTGATCCCAGTTCTTACTCTGCTGCAGCCTGAGCAGTTGGTCCTGCCCCTCCCTGCCTCGGGACAGAGGTCCTGGGTAGAAGCTGGATCCGTTGGCAGCCTGAGAAGTCTGTTCTTGTTGGTGGCTGTACCCCATGCTGGGCAGTGTGGCCACCGGCCTCAGACTGTACCTTCTCCCATTCTGCCTCCCCTCAGGGAACCTCCTGGGGATGCTACTGAGCATTTGTTTCCTTAGCATTAGGGCCACTGTCTCGTACGGATTGCTCGTGGCCAGTAAGTGCTGGCTGGGGCCAGCCGCTCCCCACAGTGGCTGCAGTGTCCTTTGGTCCTGATTCCAGTTCATCAGGGGCCTCTCGGCTGCAGAGCCCACTGGGCAGAGTGGACAGCGCCCTCAAACCCGCCACTGGCAGCACAGGAGAGCCTGGCAGGCTGACCTTCCTCCCAGGGACCCACAGCCTGGTGGGCCTGGGCTTTCAGACTTGAACTTAGGCTGGACACTCTTCAGTTGCCTCTCTTCTGGCAGATCTTAAAACCTGCTGAAGAATTCAAATATGAACTCAGGTTCATTCCAGACTCTTATCTGAGGCTTTTTTCCCCCATTATTTTAAATCACAAAGCAATAAACCATCAGTCTGAGATTTTGCTAAAAATGTTTTGGCATCCTGAGCTTGTTTTTCTCAATAAAGTCAGGAGACATTCTTTGCCAAAACAGACACCGAGGTTTGTTGTGAAAGTCATTAAGATATAATCCAAGCCCGGTGCTGTTGTGAGTCATTTTGGGATTTTCTTTTTCAGTTTTCCTTCCAATCGTCTGGTTTCAACTTTAATTAACTTGGAAAAATAGGTTGTCCTCACCTTTATGCTCTTGAAAAATACATTTAAAATAGCTAAAACTTGAAAATGGCCCAAATGCCCATCAACTAGAGATGGGATCAAGAAAATGTGGTTTTTTAATAAAATGAAGTACAACTCAGCCATCAAAAATGAGAAATTAGAGACATTTATTGCTAAATGGATGCACATTGATGCGATACTCTTAAGTGAAATAAACAGGACACACATGTGTAAATACAGAATAGTTTCTCTGGTGTGAGAAACTGAAAGTGTAAATAAGGACTAAAATGTATAATAGGTCATGTGAAATAGGAAGAAAAGGGGCAAAGTGGGAGGGGTAGGGGAAAGGAAAGAGGGGAATGGAATTAATATGAGAAAAAGAAAAAATGGAAACAAAGTCTTTGTAAATAGGGAGGGATGGAGGGGTTGAAGGGAGAGCAGGGGAAGGGGGAAAAAATAAGAACCAAGAGAGACTATGTAAAGGTGCATATCTCCAATGATGAATGTCATTATGTTGTACACCTAAAATGTACCAATAAAAGGATATACAAAAAATACTTTTAAAAGAAGCAATATCCTTTAAATCCTATACCAACAGATTACAAATTAGGATTGGTGATTTGATAGTTTAATAGGAGAATTGTTGTTATTTTAAGTGACAGTTAATTAACCAGAGTAGAGTCCGATTGCCTGTTGGTTAGTAGGCAGAAGAAATTCAAGGCCCATTCCATGTACCCTGAGTTTCAGCTACGGCCAAGGACAGAAACAAAACAACAACATTTCAATAATCATCTCATACTGCTTCCTTTAAAAATGTCTTTGCAGTTGGTTCTTGAAAGAGGTAGTGGAAATATATATTTAAAGATGAGCATAAGCATCTAAATAAAAATCTGTCAAAGGCAAAAATAAGAAATGATAGGAATGTTGTATAGTGATTCAGATGTAACGAACACAAAACCAGGCACTGGTGAGGAAAGGGCTTTGGCGTGGTCTTTAGAATCCTTTTGAATATATGTTCCTATAGAGTTGGCTGTAGAAACCTTTTCCTTGTGGAATATGGTGTGAGAGGTGTACATTTTCAAAAAAGAAGGAAGTGGCCCATTATGTAATAAAGCTCAGAGTTGAGACTGAGTGACTTTTATAAATCACACATTGGAGGATCTATACTTTACTTTCTGGCTAATAGTCCTGACAGTCAGAGAGGTGAGAAGGCAGGTTCTGCCTGCAAACTGGAAATATTTACAAGCCATTACATCCTCTTCGATCTTTGGATTGCCTGACCTCTGGGAGGAGAGAGTTTTGGTAGATTCAGACTCTAGGATGAACAAATGCCCTGTGGAGATCGCTGGCTTCTGGCTCCTTGGTTCTCAGAGCAGAGCTCGTGCCCTGTCGCCCGTGATGCCCCGGGTCCGCCTCAGGCCCAGCGGCCCCTCGTGCCCTCCTCGTGTGAGCCTCCGCCTTAGTCTCGGGGTGCTGAGCAGGAGTTCGGAGCAAAGACAGCGGACGCCTGTCTTCACCGTCCTCTCCTCGCTTCCGGGAGCAGGGGTGTGGAATCTCCTCCACGCACCGTCCGGAAGCTCCGGCGCGGCACAGGTTCCCGGCGCGGGGTCCCGCACTCAGGCCGCTTCCTGGGCAGGGCAGCGGGCTGAAAGCCTCGCCCGTGCCCGCTGCCGCTGCGAGTCCTCCCTCAGGATGCCGCGCGTGTGCGGCCAGTGCCAGTGGCCAAGGGGCTGAGCAGCGCCGGGCTGCTGTGGGCCGACTCCCTTTGCTCTGTGCCCGGTACTGGGTGAAAGGGGTTCGTTTGGGGTGTGAAGTCTGTGCGGCCCGTGAGCAATGTTCGAGTTGCCTGGGCTGCCACACGGAAATGCTGCGGCCTGGGGCTTAGCGGGAGGGAGCCACACAGTCCCGGAGCTACAGTCGGGGAGTTGAATTCAAGGTGTGCGCAGGCGGCTCCTTGCAGGCCTCTCTCCTCGGCTGGCATACGTCACCTTCTCGCCGTGTGCCCGAGTGGTCTCTCCTCGGTGCCTGCACGTCCCTGGTGTCTCTGTCCGAGTTTCCTCTCCTGTAGGAACAGCTGCCGGGCTGGCTGGGGCACCCTAAGGGCTTCGTAGGCCCCGGGCTCACGGCTCTGTCCCTAAGCACAATCTCATTCTAAGGCACCGAGGACAGGCAGGCTTCGATGGTCAGTGATAAGGACAGAGCGGTAGACACAGCCAGACCGCAACAAGGCTGACCTCACACAGTATGAGACATGAGCCTGGCCTGGTTACCAGGACCACAGGTGTGGCAACACCCTCAGCCAGGGACACTTTTCACTCGAGGGACTTTTTTGTTTCATAACCGAGAGGCAGTGTCGGAATGGCATCCGCTGCTGGAGAGAGGGAGGCACACACCACCCTGCCCTGCGCTGACGAAGAGCTACCTGGGCCTCGAGGCCATCAGTCTGTTGCTGAGCTGGAAAACCTGGCTGGAGAGGCTTGGGACATCTGCCAGGTGTGTGACCTCCGTGTGGTGCTTCCCGCTGTGCTCCTTGTGCTGGGCAACATGAGAATCTGTTGCAGCTCTTAGGTCGTAGCCTTGCTCCTGGGAGGCTCTCAGCAACCTTGAGTGCTTTATAAATTTCTCACCTGCAGATGCCCGCAGAGCTGGGAGGAGTTGGCATTGGGCAGCATCCAGCCCCAGAAAGGGATGGACTGAGCCAGGCAGGTAGGTAATGTGGGCCACAAGAGAGCAAGGCCGTGACTTGCAGAAAGAGACAGGATTGCACACTTTCTTTGGCTGTTTCCAGCCTCAGTGTGTCTCATCGGGTGAAATATGGCTTGAATTGGGGGCGGCCCCTTCTCTGAATATAAGTGGTTACGGCATGTGTTTCCAGCATCTGTGTCCTGCTTCTTCCTGGAGATCATTTAGGAAGAGGCTGCCGGCCGCAGGATGGAGAGCTGCTGGTGTCAGGTCCAGAGCGAGAGGAGGAGAGGGCTGTGGGAGGACCCCGTCAGGGGCTCGTGCTGATTAGCAGGGGCAGGAGCCAGCTCCATGTCCTGCCGGGTGCACTGCTCCTGCACAGAAAGGCTCCTGCCCTCCCTTCCCTTCTTCCTGACTTCTGCACTGGGGGTTGAACCTAGGGCCTTGGCATTGAGCTGTACCCCTGCCTCTTTACTTTTTGTTTTGAGGGAGAGGGTCTCACTAAGTAGTCCAAGCTGTCCTGGAACTGGCAGTCCCCTGCCTCAGCTTCCTGTAGCTAGAATTTCTGGTGCGCACACTGCACCTGGTAAGGAAATGCTCTTGGAGCAGCTCTGTGAGGAGGAAGAGAGGTCATTTAGCAGGATTCGGTGTTAATAAGGAGCCCATTCCCTGAGCATCTGCCGTGTATCAGCCCTGCGTTCTCGGACCACTCGGTCCTCAGAGGTCTGTGACGATGTTTGTCTCCATGTGCAGATTCAGAACGGAGGCTCCGCCAGGCGCCACACCTGGAGTACAGATGGCCGTGCTGAGCAATGGTTCCCGGTTTCTCTCTCCCCATCGCCACCACCAAGCCACCTACTGGAAATTAATCCAGTGAATAATGATGCATTGAGATCACTAAAATTGTGCCCTGTAAATGAAACTGCACACTGTTCACTTTCCTCACCCCCCCCCTTCTCCTCTGGCTCCACTTCCTGCCTTCCAAGTGGGACTTTCTGAGCGGAACTGAGCCCAAGCTTCAGGAACTCCCCTGGAAGCTGCAGAGAAGCCGTTGGCCAGTCACTTGGCCACCAGGAAGGCTTGGGAAGTGTCCTGCAGCACTCCGAGGGCCTTCACGGAGGTCTCTCAGCTGCCTGTGCTCATCAGCTCCTGCCCAGGCCCACACAGAAGGGCTCTGATGGGCCGTCCTGGGCCACGTTGTTCCGTTTGGCACCATCTCACAACGTGACCAAGGAAGCCACGAGAGCCCGTGTGGACTGGAGCATCGCCATGAGCCATGGGGCTGTAACTCAGAGGCCTCCGCGATGCTGGCCAGCAGTGTGTTCTCTCTCCACTCGGCTCGGGGTGCACCGAGGGCCCCACAGTGGCTCTGTGAGCAGAGAAGGGCTGTGCAGACTCGGGCCGGGGGCCCACAGTGTGGGAATCCTGGCCTTGCAGCCCCCAGAAACCAGGTCTCGGGGAAGTTAGTTCACCTCACTGCGCTTTGTTTGTGTCTTCATGGGATGTGGACAATTGTGCGTCTTGGGCTTTTTACATTTTAAAATGTCAACTGGTTAATAACGATGGAGGGTGTTCCCAGTGTATGGTGGGATGACCTGATGACCTACACATCGCGGAACTATCAGGGTGGTCAAATGCATGCAGGCATCCATCACCGCTGGGCTGTGCTTAGAGCCCAGGATTGTTCTCAGCTGGAAGTGAAGTTACACCGGCATTTCCCCTTCCCTTCCCCTCCCAGCTTCTGGTAACCACCATTCTACTTCCCGATGGGTCTAACTCTTAGGTTGCACGTGTCAGAGAGACAGTGCAGGGTTTGTCTTTCTGTGTCTGGCTACTCTCACTAAGCGTAAGGTCCTCCAGGTTCATCCATGTTTTCTCTTCACAGCTGAATAATATTCCACTGTACACAGGAACCACAGTTCCTTATTGGCTCACCTACTCATGGGTACTGAAGCTGCTTCCACATCTTGGTTATTGGAAACAATGCTGCAGTGGCTGTGGGTGCAGATGTGTCTCTGAGATTATATTTCTTTGGATGTATATCCGGAAGAGGGATTTGCAAGATCCACAGGGTAATAGTTCTATTCTTAATTTATTGAAGAAGTTGCTTACCATTTTCCATAATGGATGTGATGATTTACATTCCCACCAAAGTGTGCCAGGTCCCCCTCCTGCCTCTGCACCAGGACTTGTTAGCTCCTGTTTTGCACAGTAGCCTAGCAGGTGTGAGTTGGTTCCTCACTGCGGTTCTGACTTGTGTTTCCCTGTTGATCAGAGATGTTGAGCATTTGTTCATGCTGTTGGCCATTTCTGTAGCAGATGTCCCTGCCCAGGACTAGCAGGCTCTGAGTGGCTTCTTGCCTCCTTAATTTGGCTATATTGTTTTATGTCAGGAATCAGACCAAAGCCTCACATGACTCAAATGGGCTTGTCAGCTAGCCAAGTTGGGCTAGCATTGCTCCTTTGCTAACGGCTGTCACTGAGGAGTCCTAGGCCCCGGTCTGTGAGGTGCAGGGCTCTGCTGAGAAATGTGCAGCTGAGGTCAGCGTGACCCCAGTTAAAACCCTTTTGCCTGAATTACGGCTTCTCACTGACCCGATGGGTTGCTTGCTAATTGCACCCCGTCCCAGCACCGGTTTGTTCTGTCCAAGCAAGATCAGCAGTGCTTCCTCCCTAGCAGCCCTGCCTGGCGCCGTCATGCCAGGTGTTCGGCAGTGTTCCACTAGGTGCCTTCAAAGCATACCCGGCTCCCGATTCCTTCCCACAGCGTATTCAATAGATACCGCGTGCTCTGGGGGGCCTTGTCTCTGTTGCTACCAGCAGCACCAATCATGCCCCAAGACTCAGCTTCTTCACTCTAAGTCACGTTTCCTGTCTGTTCTTTAATTCACCTTGTGCTGCAGTGACTCACAGGAGGCCAGAACCCTTAGCAGAAGTTCTGGCAAGGCCCCCTTCCCCACTCCCTATGCCTTTCTATGTCTTCCTTGGAAAAATGTCTACCCAGGACCCTTGTCCTGCTTAGCAATTGGGTCATTAGTTTCCTGGGCCCTTGTGCAGATGTGTAAGATGGTCTGGTGCATGGCACAGACTTAGTGCTTGGGAGTTCTCATGACTCCGGTGGTCATGAGGGCTAAAGCATGAAAATCACTCCACTGAGGAACATTAAAGGACCTGTGTCTCAGCTCTGAGGAGAGAAGTGCATCAGAACAGTTTCCACACAAGCCAGGGTCTTTGTGCTGGGGGCTGCCTGCCTCCCTGTGTCCTGCTGCATCCAGTGTGGAGGCTATGGCCACCGTCCAAATGCAGTGAACAGGAGGATGTGCCCAGAAGGCAGACAGCCTGGGGTCAGCCCAGGTCAAGGGCAGCCCAGCTCTGCCACTGGTAAAACTGGCCGGCCTCCCTCACACTGGGTTTGCTCATCTGGAAAGCGAGGATAACGATGCTGGGAGATGCGGAGAGAGAGAGGCTGTGCGGACCATGCTAGCCCAGTGCCAGGAGCACAGCCGCACTGCACTTGTTTGCATTTACACTTTACTCCAAGGCCGGCACGTCCAGATGGATGAGGACACTGCGAAGTGGCGTAGAAAGGAAGCAGGGTCTCCCTTTGAGAAGGCGTCTAATGAGCCTGGGAGACTGTTGGTGTGGTGCTCAGGAGGGAGTTCTCGGTGCCCTGGAGACCCAGGGACTCAGCATGAGAAGGAACATACCTGGGGAGCCTCACACCATGAGCAGAGCCTTTCTCCCGAGCCCCAGCTTCCTCTCTGTTGCTATGAAGGCTGGCGTCTCCTTTCCAACTTCCTGCTGCCATATTGCCACTCCGGTGATTTCCCTGACAATGTGGTAGATAGCATTTGGATACTTGCAAAGTGAGCCCCACTTTGATGACTTGTCTCTCCATGCTTTATCAACTCATGTGAGCAGAGGTTCTTAGGCGGGAAATTTCAGGGTGGGATCCTGCAAGAATAATCCCCTTGAATACACACATGTCACAGAACCATGAAGCTTGTGCTCTCTGCTTTCCCGATTTCTGCTGACAGGAAAGGAAACATGATCTCCCCATGGTATTTTAATGCATTCCCTCTTTGCTTCTGTCTTTTATGACCTATGAGAAGCTATGTTTTCCTTCAGGGGTTTGGCACTGTAATTCTCTCCAGTGCCACCAGTTAAGGATAAAGCATTTGGGGTGCAGGGAGCAGGAGCAAATGAACTCAGAAGCAAGTCGTATCCTGTTTTTCTGCAAATAGTTTGAAAACAGGAAACAAGAAATGCAGAAAATATGATGTGTTGTCCCAGATTGTTTCTAAAGCAAATGCTTTCTAAAAGTAGAAGAGATTTTTTTTCTACTGTGTAATTGCTCGCTCCTGCATGTCCAGTGGACACTTTCAGCAGGGACACACATTGGAGAATCCCTGGTTGTCCAGGTCATTCCAAAATATCTGCTGAGCAGCTAATATGCAGAGGGCAACACTGAGAAGGGACAACAGATGCAGACGAGACACACACCAGCCACAACAGTGAGGGGACCCCAGTACAGGCTTGTGGGCACAGAGCAGGGATCCTCACCTGGTTTGTGTTCTCAGGGACTTTCCAAGAAGTGAGAATTGAGCTGGCTGCTGAGGAACCGGAGAGAATTATCAGCAAAGTCTTGGGGTAGTAAATGAGAGGAAAAGGCACACGCAAAACTGGAAGATAAAGCTATTCCAGTGGCAGTGGTCATTATTTAAATGCTACTTAGTGTCATAAAAGTCAGAAAAAGGTCTGAGCCTGTGACTCTTCAATATAGATCCAGGCTTAGACCCGTTTTCATGTGAGTTTAACTCACGTGGAAAGAGGACATTGTTCTCCACAGTTAGAACAGCGCTCTTGTAACCAGAAGTGGAGCTGAAGGTCCTTTGTCTTGTAGTCGTGATCCATGGCAATCACATCACTAAGAATAACAGCCTCCAGAGAAAGATGAACAAATCCATCACTGAGTCCATTTAGCACCCAGTCACTTAAATAAATATCCTCTCAGCTAAATTACTTTCTCCATCAGTGTCAGTGACAGAAGAAGTTCCTGGGAGCTTTTGTTTGATGCTAGAAGGGAAGAGCAGAGGGACGGGCACAATGGAAGAGGAATTTCTCACATAGTTACAGTATCTATCAGTGCTGTGAAGTAAGGGCAGGATTCTGAACACCAAGGGTAAAGTATTCAGCCTCAGGGTGTCTCAGTCACCTGGGGAGGAAAAGTTAACAAGCACAAGACCCATTGTAGCACCTGTTCAGGACAGTGGGGAGCACGGTGACTGTTTTGCAGGTGGCTTTTTAAGGTCTCCCTAATCTCTAGTGAATCTCCTGTCTTTCTGTTCTACTATTCTATCAGTACGTGCATATGTTACAGAATCATGATGTTCCTCTTGGGGCACTGGTCCATGTGTATAGCACGTCTGGCACATTTTCTGTCCCTTTACCCCATTAAGGTTTGCGTGTAGATGTTCCCGCAAAGCTGCTTGCTATCATTTTAGGGAGGTGGCTGGCTGCAGGAGGTGTGAACGTGGATTAAAGATGTGATGCTGAGGTGAGGGGTGTGTGGTACTAAATTGGTCCACTGATTGGAATTAGCACAGTTCTGGGGTGGCTGAATGGATTTACTGAAGACAGAAGCCCCACCCTGGGTGAAGGTGGTGTAGCCTGGATGGGATAAAAGATGTGCAGAGGTGTTTCTCTCCCACTCATAAAGCAAACCTCGTTCTGCCTCCAGCAATTTGTCAGTTGCCACTCTAGGGGACCTACACATTTAGGGCTCCAGTGACTTCTGCCCCAGATGCCCACACCATGGTGGGAATCCACTTAGCCACATGGGAGCCTGCAGGACACACCCCCAGGAGCCCCACTCCATCCAGTCTGCGCCAAGCACACCAGCG